AACGCATTACTTTCCATAAAAAGTAACTAAGTAACGTAACTAGTTACTTTTTTATGGAGTAACGCAATATTGTAATGCATTACTTTTAAAAGTAACTTAGAAATCAGTCACATTAGTGTAGTAAAATGATTGGTACTTGACTGAATGAGTTTTGTTTGTTTGTCAGATCTACCCAGATGAAGGCCACTTCCTTCACTCGAGAGACTCGCAGCTACATCTGAGTCAAACGCTGGTCAACTTCTTCGTGGAGTGTTTCAGACCCCCAGAGATACCGACTGAAGATAAAGTGGAGCAGGACAACGAGGATGATGGTTAAAGTTCTACTCAGATCCAGCACAAGCCAGTTTACAGCCCAATATGCAAACTCCTCCTCTCCATCCCCCCCTCCTCCATCCCCATAGTAGTTCTGATGGCTTCTCCTGAGCCTCTGCATAGACCACGCCCCTCGACTCTGATTGGCTCACTGCCTTCAGGAAAGAATCTGAATGACTTGGTGATATAAGAACCTGTGGAGGTACATGATGAACCAATTCATACTCACAGCACCACACAAGCAGTGTGAGAAAACCAGCTGGACGTGCGTGATTCAGTCAAAACTCTTTTGCTTGTGTTCTGTAATTCATGCATTGCTGACAGAAAGCTTTAAGAGACGACAGCACAATATACAGAAGAATGATTGGCCGGAATTAAAAGCTGCAAATTTACTCAATAGCATTATTTTCCCTGCTGTGTAACGTTCTGATGAGTTCAAACCAGTTTAGGGCCTTTATTTGGGTATAAATGTCCTTGTGAACCCATTTGTTTCTGTCGTCAATGTCATCGTTATCAGGCCTATTCATGCTGAATTAATTTGCGCGAAATAGTTATAAAACCATTTCATATGTCAGTTGAATGTGGTAATTTACATAAAAAAATATTGGAGCTGAACAAATGTGCATAAAGCATTTACATACAAATTTATACAGGAATTTGTTCTGCTCATTTCATGAGGCTATTTGTTCCATCAAATGTGCTACTGTAAAACAGTTGTTGTAACTATCCACATCAGCGTCCGCATGAGGGCACAATGGCATATTGTTCATTTTTGAATCGGCCCTTTCTGAAAAGTAGTCTTTTTTTTTATTTTAGTGCAGCTGCAAATGGATATTCATTTAGTCACTGTGCCTTATTGGAGTAAACCTGCTTAAGACAGGCAGTCCATGAGGTAGGACCAAAAATTTATGGACAAATTAGAAAAAAAAAAAAAAGTTTAGAAGTAAAGTTTTATGTTATCAAAGAGAACCATGCCACAATCCTGCCAAGAACATTTTCTTTACAGTCCTGTGTACTAGTTGAGTTGTAAAGTAATCCAGTAGATTAACTGTGAATACAGAATACATAGGACTGGTGTCTTTGGGCAGGTCTGTGTTTTATGTGTCTTGTTTTTCTCATATGTGGTTACAAATGTCGTTGAAGAACGTTATGCATAGAATATATTTTCTTGCTCTATAATTTGGCATGGAGGCAAGATGGTTTCTTTTGTTTTAATGTATCTATTTACGTGTTGTTACTTTTGACAGCTTGAATGTTCCTATGTGGTTCCACTGAATTTATTGTTGTAAGTGAAATCCTGTCTTGTAAGCAGACGCACTGACGCGTACAACTGGTTTGGTCCCTACTTGTGTGTACCCTGTACATAAAGCATTTTGAAAGCCATTTTGTTTATTCACTTAAAAGCAAGATACTGCAAGGTTCTATATGGCTGCATTTATGCTGTTCACATTTATAGGATAAAGTTTCAGCGTTTTGTTCTTAACCATCACAATTATGCAAATTCCTGCAATGGCAGTCTGCCCCCTTGTGGTGTAAATCTGAAATTGATGAGGAAATGAAATAACAGGACTAATTATTTATCAGACAAAAAAGGGTTTATTTTCCAGTGTTTTACAATGTGCGTCCACCATATGAGCAGACCCAGCATGATACAAACAGTTAGGGAAGCATTGTTCACACACAGGGAGACTGGAGACCCCAGAGATGATTAGCATGTTCGCGTTCACTCTCCCGGGTCCCTTAACCTCACCTCTGTATCGTACAATACTTACAAAAAGAAATTGATGCAATGAAAATGACCGGAGGATGAGGAGCAGCTAAAACATGTAATAGATAAGTACAATTAAGTTACTTACTTTACAGGAATATTTAAAATTCAAGTCTGGTTAAAATACCAAATGCAAAACTTAAAACAATAATGCATTAAAATAGTGTTAAGACCCAGGAGGAATGCTGTAGGAATGGAAGCGTCTCATTTTTCCATGAATGTGTGAAAGTGTGGCTGAGTTTTTTTACTAAAAAAAAATAATACATATCTTTTACATTTTTTTATGTATCTGAGATGTGGCACCCTCAACAACCCAAGATCGGTATTCAATATGAGGCACTTTCATGATCCAAAGACACCTGATTTGTTCTTTAACAATCCATTATTTTCTCATCTTTTTTTCCAGCTTTATCCCAGAGACAGTAATCATGTCTCAGTAGTCGTATTACAACAAACAGTAACATGTACACCGCAAATTGCATCAGTAAAACGGAGTTCCTTTTTGTCTTCCGTTATTTAAAAAATGTTTACTGTGCCGAGTGTCTGCCATGCACTGCACTTAAAAAAAGAAAAACGAAACAGACACCTTTCCAAAGCACAGCACACAAAGCAGTCCAAACACAGGCAGAATAAACTAAAAAAGCACAAAAAGGGGAAATATATACACTTCATAAATGAAAATGGCAGTTTGTTTAGTATTACAACAAGCAGATACATTCTTGTTTTGGTTACTGAAGGATCTATCGCAACACTGAGGGCCTCTTTACACTTCCAATAAAATTAATCTTTTTTCAAGGCTCAAGACACTCTAGTCTTCTCAACATCCTATTGACCTACCTGCCCAGCCTATTTCTCGGTTACTTGCCTTTATCTTCCAAGCCAACTACAACTGCTCCATTGTGTGACGTCTCGAATCTAAAATCCATATTTGCTGGAATTCGAGCTCTCCCAGTTTTCCAGCAATACTGCACTTCAGCCAACAGTGAGAGGGCCTCTGTTCACTGTACAACATTGGATCGGTACATAATTTCATTCACAGAAGGAAATATCACAGGATGTTTTAAAAACATTTCTTGCAACTCTGAGAACGCTCGATAGCAATTTCATACACTCTTTCTCGATCTCACATCACACACACATTCTCGCTCATGATATCGACTCGTTGATGCCAACATGGCTTACAAGCATCACTCAAGTACCTTAAAACATGCCAATACTCAGACACTCAAATAGTGTACTCGTATACATCAGCGCACACTCACACACACTTTCACAGGTACTGATAGAAACGGGAACGGACCACTTGAGCACCAGAGAGTTTGTGAGGGTGGGCATCTGCAGCCAGGCTTAGGCTCTTGCTCTGAGCGGCCGCTACATCTCCATTAAGGAGCTGACCCAAGTGGGAGTGTGAGGACCCAGCGAATAACAGGTCCCGTGATCGGGAAGGGTGCAGGTCCAGTAAGTCCAGACTAACTTCGGGGTTGCTGGCTCGGTGTCGCTCTCGAGCGATCCAGTCTCTGATGGAGAAGTCCTGCGAACTACACTTGGGCTTTAAGCGATCCATAGCCGAGAGCTCATTGCCCTGGACTCTTTGCCAGTCCCCAATTACCGACAACTCCGCAAAGTCTCGCTGACCTCCCATGGTGTGCCTGCGGCGGATATTGCTTTTCCGTTTACTTCGAGTCTCGGGTGACCTGGTGCACTGGGAACCCACCCCGAACATGTCATCTGCTGACGTCCTCAGTCGACACTTTAACCGGTCTGTGATTTTGATTCGCCACATGGGTTCGGCTTGCTCTGATTCGCTGCGAGAGGAAGAGCTCAGACTGCCGGTGGAGCGGCCTTTGACTGCCTCTAACACTCGCGAGAGCCGACTAGACTCCTTGTCGCTGCGGTTCCCGTCTGCTGAAGACTCGCTGTCTGTCTTCTGCCGACTCCCTCTCTTGCGTGCCAGGGTGTCGCACGCGATGATTCGATGGGAGGGGATTAGGTTGGGTCCATCTTGCAGAGGTGTGACACTGCCCTCCAGCTGTTTGCTATCTTCAGTTGGCCTGCTATCTCGGCCACCGGCAAAGACCGATAAATCGCTCTCACTGTCAGTCTCCATGGGCCTCCCCTCACTAATGAGCTCGCTTCTTTCATCGTCAGCATCATCCCCGCGGCTTTCTGCGACAGATTGCACCTCCGGACTGAGGGCGATGGACTCCACCCCTGTGTGGAAGGTCATGGAGGAGGTGGTGGAGTAATCTGATGTGATAGAGCAGACCTCTGCTCCTGGGCCCATTCCTGTATTCTCCATCCAGTGGCCTGGTGTCCTCCCATGCCTCATCCTGGGTACTGAGGCCTGTGAACTGGTGCTGTTAAGCGTGCCCAGATCCGAGACACATCCGTCGTCGTAGTTGGAGGGAGGATCGGACAGGGAACTTCGGCGAGTCATGTGATAACTAGGTTTGGGCGATGCAACGATCTTAGGTGAAGAACAAGTCTCCTGGGGCAGATGTTCGGAAATGAGCTGCTTGTTTTCAGAGGTTAGGTCAAGGCTGTCTCCTGGGCTCTGCTCATCATCCTCTGTCCTTTCTATTTGGTCATCAAGTCCAACTTCACTCTCAGCATCCTCCGTTTGGTCATCAGCACGCCAATTTGGATCATTTTGCACTGGAAGATCTTTCTTAGAGAAACTAGCATCCAGGTCGTCGTCAGAGCTGCTCGGCTGAGGCTTGTCCTTAGGCTTTTTGCGTTTGCGGCTAGCAAAGATGGAAGTACGCAGCAGCTCTCTACTATATTGGTCCTTACCAGATCCCCAGGAACCCTGCTACAGAACCAAGCACATAACGACAAGTGTAAGTTTACAATGCAATGCGATCAATCTCAGGGAATTTTCTCCTTTTGTATATACTGATTTTGTAATGATCTCCTTAAAAAAAAAAAAAGTACTCACCTTTGATTTAGCAGAGTCACTGGTGGTTGAATCTAGTGGAACAAGGATAGAAAAAGGTAAGCAAGATATTTTAAGTGGAATATAGCAGGGACAGAGCCGGAGACGATAAGTAAATATCCTTCACCACAACAGCAGTGGAACGGCACAAACAGTGGAGTCATGTAGAGATCTGAGAGATGAAGGCGACACACTTAAGCCATGTCACAGAGAGAAATGGAGGAAAGAGAAATGAGTGATGACAAGAACCCGGCAGTGTGCAGTAAAACAGGAGGCAGCTCATGCACACATTCACACAGACAGACAGCCTGTCCACAGTTAAACCGCCAATCACTGACAAACACACACAGAGCCAGCAGAACACGTCTACAGGCATTCTTTCCCAACTCAGAGACATCACCAAGGCAGGGATGGACATCCTTACTATGTATTAAGGGATGAGAGTTGTAGCGAATCTGGTCGCAAACTGAATGCTGCTGCTATTTTTTAGTGATGGCTGAGTGTGCTTTATTCTTTACTTTTGTAAACCTACCTTAGCTTAGGTTACATTGCATCATGGGATTCATATGCTTAATACGCATACATATTAAGCCACTTGTTCGCAAAAAAGCTTGCAAACATAAAATGTTTGATTTTGTTTAGGAAGTTAAGTTTTGTGTTTTTTTCACCTGCTTTGTAATTTTGTCACCACTATGTAATATATTTCATGCTATTTCTAGTATGTTAAGGAAATAAGTGGCTATTAGGTTTAGGGTTGGGCCGATAGACGATGCCATCGTCCAACACGATGTTTCACTGTAGACATCGTCCGATGCCAATTTGGTAGACATCGCCCAACCCTAATTAGGTTAAATAATTGTGATCATTGCAACAAGTTTAGATACGGGACATCTGAAATACAGGATAATAAGGTGTGTTTTTATAAAACAGACTAGGGCTGCACGATAAATCGCATGCGATATTTAATAATATTGCATGCGATTTATCGTGCAGCCCTAAAACAGACACAGAGACGTCAAGTTGTTGTGGAACGTTTTAAATAGTTCACGTTTTAGCAGTCGCCATGTTGTTATACTGTGCTTTGGTGTACTATGCGACCTGCACAGTCTGCACTTCCACTGGTTGCCACTACATCACGTCTCTGATCATTTTCATGAGCAGTTAAATGGTTTCTAACTAACGCTTGCAGTCAGTCATTGCTACGTCGCAGAAAATCGCTGTTTACAGGTAACATCAGTCACTTGGGGAACCATGTTTATGTTGAACGGTATCAGCTTGTCGGTGCAGAACATGGAGATGCAGAATGAATTAAAGCACTGAAGGTTAAATAATTGTGATCATTGCAACAAGTTTAGATACGGGACATCTGAAATACAGGATAATAAGGTGTGTTTTTATAAAACAGACTAGGGCTGCACGATAAATCGCATGCGATATTTAATGCGTATCTGGGCCAAAGCTATAAGGTGGTAGAGCAGCTACGAGGAGGAAGCGAGTCCTTACGATGGGCTACTTCACCACTCAAAAGCCCCTTTGCTCACTCTCCATCAAGAGATACTAATGCTTTTGAATGGTATGACATTTGTCGGGAGCTTTATGATTTGAGCCGGCTCAGCCCCTCACCACACCCATTCAGACATCATCAATGACAGTTACTGTACGCCACAAGACTGGAGGAAATCCTGAAGACCATACCATGCTAGAACTCCTTGCGGTCAGCTTCAGAGACAACGAGAGACAGCAAAGAGGCTTTTCAGACACATTACACCATCACAGCTCTGTATCCTCTCTGTTAACAATAGTCTTATAAGATATGAAACGTGCAGCACGACGATGACAAATATCAACTTCTCTGACACTCTTTTTTGGTTTCTTTTGTTTCTGGTGGGTTTGTCCCGGATTCGCTTTCAATTTATAAGAATCGGGGATTTCTGCAGACTAGGCAGCTACACTGGGGACAACACTCCTCCTTCTTCCTACAGTCCCAGCTGTCCATCACAGACATTACAGAGTCCATCAGTGACATCACCGAGTGATAGACGCCGCCCACTTGGCCTGTGTCAAGATTGGGTAATGTGTGAGCAGTGCTGGACAGGGACAAGGGAGAAGAAAAACACTACAGACAAGATAGGTCAGACGGGCAATCCTTTGGTGGTTTATCATTGATTTTTCCATTTCTTTTGGGAAAGAACACGCCGAGTTAGCACAAGAGAAGGGTAAGGAGGGAAAAGAACTGAAAGAAAAGGAGGAGTGGAGTCATAACGGAGACTAAAGCATTAGGGGAGGGATGACAATGAGTGAGGTTCAAACCAATACAAACCAAAGCAAAAGGAGAATTCTGGAGAAATCATAGCATTGAAATAAAGGCAACAAGTCTAAAAAAATGGCGGAAGGTAAAGAAACAATTCAATGAAAAAAGGTTGATTCATAAGCTTCACATACATAGGAACTATTTTATCCAATTTTTTTCAGATAGCTCATCAAATACGCAAAATTGCTAAAATAGTTCACCTTTACATATGCACCAAGACATTTCTGGCAAGCTTGCTTTTGTTTTGCTCTAAACATTGACAGATCTAATGGAAAGCATGAGCATCTGCTTATCATCTGAAATATAGTAAGAGAGTGTGAACATACACACACAGTAACATCTGAACACACTGAACGTCTCACTTTGGTTTTAAGTAATATCCATTCTCCTAAACTCATAGCCCTAGGCTGGAACAGTTGGACTATGAACGCAAGATTACCTGAGACGTCTCCCGGTGACGGAGCAGTGCGGCCAATGTTGGTCAGCAGATGGTCAATGTTGGGCACAGGCTGAGACTGAACTGTGCTCTCTTGCTCCACGGTGGTCTGACAAAAAAAAAGCAATGAGAGGTGAAATTCATACGTCATTAACATGAGCAATAGCGAACTTTCAATGCCATTTTGAGCAGTGTGTGTTTGAGCTTTTCCAAACAAACAAATGTTGTCTTTTTCTTTATAAAACACTGTTTGCAAAGATTATGTGTTTTGTGAGCAGTGGCAGTTTCACCCTCCATGCAAAACATGCAAATGCTTGGGGCCTATCATGTCCATAAAGTGATTGAATAAATCCATGTGCTCTTATTTTCCAGCAAATCAGGACTTACAATAAATTTTGAATTTATTACTGAATGAAAGTGAAGAGCAGAAATACAGTGGAAGTGGTTAGTTTATTAGTTCTTTGTTGATTTTGTATTCAGCTTTTTAAAAGACAATGCAAGTCTGCATTAAACAGCAGTGGATTTAACTCACGGATCAGTATCCACAGCCTTTTAAAGACAGAGCATGGTGAGCACTGTATGCTATGAGTGTATGACCTGTGCACTGTACGCTAAGAGTTAAAGCGGTTCTCATCAATTCAGTATAAAGATGCAAAGCTGCATGAAGCTATATTCAAGTAAGCATCTAACTTGCCTCAAACCCTAGTTTCAGAGATACCTGTAATGCAGCTTTTGTTCTGTAAAAATGAAATAATGCATCAGATCCGAACTCTCCTTGGGGTTCCAAAAATATAAATCTGCCCCGGTAAGGGAGTAGGAAGTTCCTCGATGTTGTCTGCGACTAAATAGTTCTACAGTTATAGTTCATCATGGCCTCCTAACAATCCCCATATCTACTGATTGGCTTCATCACTCTGTCTCCTCTCCACCAATAAGCTGGTGTGTGGTGGGCGTTCTGGTGCACTATGGCTGCCGTCGCATCATCCAGGTGGATGCTGCACACTGGTGGTGGATGAGGAGATACCCCCTGACAATGTAAAGCGCTTTGAGGGCCTAGAAAAGCGCTATATAAATGTAATGAATTACTATTATTATTATTATTACAAAAGCGAGGTGGACCAGGTGGAAATGGGACAATAGGGAAACTGAGAAAATGAGGATGATTTTTCTGACCAGTGTTACCCTGAAGTCTCCAGTTCTTGGAGAGTGATAGCATGGTGATGTTTGTTTAGGGCTCAGAAATCCACTCAGAAAAAAACGTCAGGAAACTACAGACTCACCGTTGGCTCTTCATCTCCATCTTCTGTGAAGAACCAATCACACTGTAGAAGAGCAAAGCAGACAGAAAGTTAAGCAGAATTCAGACATCAATTTACAGAGATGAAAGGAAAAAGCTCTTACTTGCTGAATGAGAGTCTCAACGATCTTGTACTGGTCAGGCATGTGCGTGACCATGTGCGTCATGTTGTCTTCAGAGGTTCTGACAAGAGTTGGACCAAACACAATGGCCAAGTTACGTGGCTCCATCTAATTAAATACAAAAAAAGCTTCCGTTACTGGCTTTCAATCGCTTTTCTATCTGTAAGAGAAATCCACATCACACAACAAGCATTTGTGCTTCCAGGTTCTTCAGACAAGCTGTGACAGACGAAATTGAGCAACACTGCAGTTTTTTTTATTTGATTATATTATTTAATGTTTAACTTTTATGAAAGTGATGATTTACAGTGACGTAATACTATCTACAAAACCAGTTTAAAGTTGATTAAAGTATTTTCATTCATCATTTCTTGTAATAGGTTGTTGAACTCGCCTAGACAGGGTAAATGAACCGAACATTTACAAAGCTCATACCTTGTTTTTCTCACAGTTTTCAGAGACAGTTTTGAGATGTGCAGAGAGGAACTTGAGTGTTTCATAATGATGGTCTGGTAACTCATGAATCTGGGCAGAATAAGCATAGTAAATATGATTTATACCTGTTATCTGTTGAGGATTTTATTGCTGGTTTAAAAGATTGTTCTTTCTCCAATCTAGTAAATGTCAGTATTTCGTAAATCAACAGCGGTCTTCAGATAAACCGTACCAGTCTCTTCAGTGTTTTTAACCTCTCAACAGGGTCCTCCATTCGATTGGCGTCAATAAAGTTGGAATATTTATCTAAGGTCAGAGCAAACAAGCATTATTAGAACAGTCCTGAAGTGTATTAATCAGGGTACCCTTGCAAAAAAAAAATACTATATCAAAAATACTTCAGCTGAACATATGTAAAATCTCTCTATATATATATAAAACATTTTCAGGCTTGGAAATTATGCCTGGTTTTCTATGACCATATGAGCTATGGCCCATGTTGTCCTCTTGGAGGAGTCCTTCCTCCACATGTGGAGAAAAAAGAGCTGAGATGCAAAATTTTCTTCGATATGAGATGCTCTCTATGAGAGACAGCACACAGTATTTTTCATGTGTTTTGTATAAAGCCAGAAGAATCATCTATTCTATGCGATCAATGTGTCTCACCATTAGTAAAGAGAGGCTCAGGAAGTTTCCTGAAAAAGGACTTAAGCAAACTGCTGATCACATTGAGGTCTCGCCACTTCTGCTGAACAAAATAAAAGCATAAAGATCAGGTCTGTCTTTATGGTACAAGCGCTCATGTATAATAGCACACAATACAAAAGTGTTTACTCACATCATCCTGGATATCAATGCCTGTCATGCCTTTAGTGTCTAGTTCCTCCTGCATGCTCGAGATGGCAGCGTTGTTTCCAGGGACTCTATAAATGCCTGTGTACTCCAACCCTCTCTCCTCCACCAACTTACAACACACCTCCACGATCAAAGGAACAAACTATAACACAGTAATTAGTGTTATTTTTAATACCATATAATGTCACAAAACTCCAAAAGTCAAATTTGCATTAACAAAATGGAACCTATTTTTGAACCATTCATATTTTCCCATCATGACAATTTTTTTTAACTTCTCGGTAATGTAATATTAAAAACATTTACGTTATACAAAAGATTCAAATTTAAAACATTCAGATACATAGAGGGGGAAATATACTAATAATGTCACAAAGCAAAAATTTGTGAAGGCGTAAGTTTCTTCATTGAAAATCTAATTTAAATTTTTTTTTTCCATTTGCTCTTGGAGTGAAATGAAACCTTGACATGTTTATGTGAGTTTCACCCATAATGGTTTAATTTGCATTATGCAGTAGTGCATTTGTAATCTCTTTAATTTCTTACTCCGTTTGTTTGTGCAGGAGGGCAATTATCCAGTCGTACTCCAAACATGACGCCAGCAGTGGGCCTCTTATCTTGAGGCTTCTTTTTCAGTCCTGGAATTCCTCTCCTCCAAGCGGCTTTATCTCTCGGAGGACTGGAGTCATCTGAGACACATATCGCTAACATTAACATTTCACTGAGATCAAGCACACATGATGGGTTTCAGTGTTATTTCATTATGCTGTGTGCTACCTTTACTCCTCTCCTGTTCGTTTCTGGGCGAGTAGAGGCTCTGACTCTTACTGCTGCTGCCCAGCAGGGTGTGTCTAATGCTGAGGGACTGCCGGGAGGTTTTGGGTGACGGCTCTGTCTTACTGCTGGGTGCACTGTAATGACACACATATATTACTGGACACTGAACACAGGGCAATCTTAAGCTCGGCACACACCAAGCTGATGAATGGCCATCAGGCAATATCGGGTGATTTTTGAGCATTGCCCGGCTTTAGTTTTTTCGGTGTGTTCCGCACCGTTGGCTCTAGTCAGATGCCATCAGCTGCGTTTCAGCCGATTCTGCATGTCGAATTGGCAGCGGAGCTCGGCAGAGCACGGCTGGAGTAAACAATGGTAAAAGCAAGTGCTGCTTGTTTTGTATATCCACAGTTCTAGCTCTTCCGATTTTCCTGTTTGAATGCCGAATACAGACGACTGCCACTTGCTGGTATGGGACAGTTATGTTCTGTCATGTAAGTGCAGAGCGTACACGCTAAATGGCTGTCGGCTGTAGTCTGTCCAGTGTCTTCTAGTGCAACATTTTTGCCCCAATGCAGGCGATGCGATGCATTGCTTTCCTCAGCGCTAGTTCTTTGGTGTCAGTTTGGTGTGTCCCTACCTCATCATATATGTAAGGTAAGAAGAAAAAAGGAATTAGGGATGCACCGATGCCACTTTTTTCAGAATGAGTCCGATACCGATACTTTTATTTTTGGTACTTGCTGATACCGATACCTGTATTTTCACAGCATTTGTAATTAAAAATAAATAAATTGGGGTAATAAAATATTATATTTAAAATATTATTAAAAATATTGGGTACAGAAACCAAATAATAATAATAATAATAAATCAAATAAAAAATAAATTGCTCAATCTACTCCGCGTGCTCTGCCTATCAGCTCGTGCACATCAGGTATACAGGCGTGAATATTGAATGTTTATCATTATGTTAATTACATACATGTACTACTAAATAAAAACAAACAAAATAATAAATAATACTATTGTAATTTCATTGTAAAATTGTAAAAAATTGAGTATTTACAAAAATAAAAAAAAATTATTTTACAGCCTTTAATTTTGGAGGAAAACTGCGGGGAGTCCTCAATGCTTATCTTTTGTTGACAACAGCCGATTTATAAGTGCTTTTCATTACAACTTTGGGAAGATGGTTGGTGCATGTTGCCTTTCCAATAGGGGTTAGGTGTCAGTCCGGTGAATATTTTGGTTTCTAAGTCATAGTTTGGTATGTTTTCGGTACAGCAGAACGACAAAAAAAAACAAATAAACAGCCTTTTTTTAAAAAAAGAAGAAGAAAAGAAAAAAAAAAGTGATTTACTGAACAAACCACAGCTCTTTCTTTGCTACTGCCAACCGGCTGCAAAACACTCGTAACTGTAGCACTTGCATGGTGCTGTTGTAAATGGGAGAAATGAGTTGAAGTGCTTCCACTTTTGGATGTAAAATATTTTTGCAAAAAGTATATTTTAGTCAGAATTATTGCACATGTTTAGGGCAGCTTGGATCATGCAGATTTGCCGCAGCAGCTTGCTATGTGTCCTCTGTTAATATTCAAATGAATCTGAAGTATCAATTTAAACTTTATTTTTCTATATCTTCTATAACTCATTTGAAAAAGATACATACTAGTTTCCAAATGCACGTTGTAATCGACCCAAACTCAGATGCCGATACAGATAATTTAACATGAACCACGCCGCTGCGAGACACTAAAAACACAAGATCATTAGCTGCTTACATGTAAGAGTAGTCACTCTACACGCTGAAAATACATAATGCATGTATTTACTAATTTAAATCATAGCCTTTGCAATTTGATAATTAGGTTTTGTTTCAAATATCATGTCTAGTAGCAAAGTCAATCAACCATGAGTGCCAGTCAAGTCTTGTGCGTGGCCATGCTTTTTGTTTGGTGTTCAATGTGAGTGACAGCTAACAGAGCTTCATTTCAGTGGGGCAGCTCACTAGGATTTGGAACAGGGCCTTTATGGCAAGGCAGACCTGCTGGTCTCTAGGACATGTTCTTTACCTCATGGATATATACTCCTTGAGCTTTCTGTTGATCAAATCAGTACTGGTTACGGCAGCGTTCTGAAAACACAAGATAAAGAATCATTAGCATTGTGGTAACATGCAAACCTCTTGAGTACAGCAACATAAACCTGATTGTGTGCATTAAGGCAAACCAGTTCCTCTGGCAAACACAGGAGACGAATATTAACAACAAGTCTACCCATAATCCTCACACCTTCAGTAAACAATGTCACCTCGACACTGATTTCATCCAATGACAAAGCCCTGTTGTGTTAGCAGTAAGCTGGTTTTCACATGGTTTCAATTCAGGACAAAGTTATGCAATACTATGATGCTTGTGCAGTCAACTCTGAGGGGGCAGATATGGTTCACAGACTTCACATGATGATATTAATCTGCTATGATTTCCTGCTCATATTAGTTCTTTGTGAGGCTGTTCACATGACATTTTAAATGTGTAATAAGACACTGTTTAGAAAGGAGTCAAGGACTGAGTGGTTAGCATGGCCCTGTTATCCTCTGTTGGTAGATGCTGTAACTACAGCATTATGTCACAACTTTCTCCATTTATTGTGATTCAAAATTAGCTGTTCAAATAATACAAATGGCAAGAAAATATAAATCAGATTTCTGAAAATATCAGAAATAGTTTAATGTATACAACAGATGCTTTATCAGAGCCTGGTTTTTGGAACACCCATAAAAGCATAAAATAGATTTTTCCCTGTCTGCTGCTTTTGACGTCACAGCAGGATAGCCGATAATGAAGGCCAGTTGGCTACCAGCCAATCCAGCTTTATCCGGTTGTCATTTCCCTGCGGTTACAGTAATTAATCACATGGCAGTTTGGTGTGCCCAATTGGTGTGCCCATTAGCAAGATGGCAATAGTCTTCAACTGTTTATGTATCCAATTCATCCAATCTTGGCGTGTTCAACAGAAGGAAACGAACATGCAGCCATGGCCAGTTTTGAATTGCATCTGTTGACCTCTTTATACTTAGTTTTGAGGTGTCACTTCATTAATGAAGTCAACATTAAAGATGTCTAAATCCCAAAGTATACTTCCATTTTGATGCAAATACTTAGCGCATGTGTACAGCCGAATGCAGAGGATACTCCATTTGATAGTGTGTGCAAACATCCGCACTAGAAAGTGTCATCCTTGTTTAGTGTCTCCGGAATTTCTCTCCAGAAGTCATGACTGATAAAACGTCTTTGTACTCATTTAAACTAGAGTTGTGGTTATCTCTTAAACCCCTCACACGAGCACTCACCAAAGCAGGCATCTATTATTGTTGACGCTCTAGTGGTTTATTTTCCACCTCATCTGTTTCTTTTGACTGTGACACACCGGACTGGGCAGTGTTTGCACCTTGTGGACAAACTAATTAGTCTAAGTTGAGCATACAGAGTATACACAATTAGACAAATCTGGCTTTACATGCGGACTATGCTACTTATGAAATTTACATCACACAACTGTACAAATACCTTAGCAATCACATTAAAACACTATCATTGTCAACAAACCTCCTCGTCCAGGTTGCTGTTTTCTTGAGTGTCACTATAAGAGATGTCAATCAAGCAGGCCTTGATGCTGATTGATTGAGGCTCATCCTCCAGTTGCGAGTTGACGTGAGCAAGCCCCTCCTTTTTGTCCTTATAGAGGTAGAGGGAGTGTCCCCGTAGCACTGCGTACATCTGTTTCCACGGCCGCATACCGCCTCCTACTCGCTGTAAATAGAAGAATGCATGTAAAGTACAGTATGATAGTAAAACTATCACTATTCAATTCAACATGCTCGTGAATGAATCTGCCACTATGGGAAACGAGTAGTGAAGGACTAAGAGATCAGTTTTCCCACCTTGCCCTTCTCCGTGTTGAGCTGTCGGAAATGCAGCCAACCCTCCTTGGTGGAGTCACTGAAGATCTCAGTGGAGGAGTCTCTTCTAGAGCTGGAGTCATCAGACTTATGGCCATCCAATGCCTATAAGACCAGAACAAACATGACATTTTGCCGTCTACTTTTGGCTAATTGTGCATAATTTTTACTCTATTCCAAAATCTAAGTTGCTTGTGTTTACTGCCTACATAGGCAGCTCCCTTCTAAGGTGACACCCTAACTGAAATGGAACCTAACAAGTGACCGATGTGGAGTGCTGTACATCACATTGACTAGTCACTTAATTAAATGTCACATGATGTGCCTATGAACTGCCCACAATCGTTTGCAGAAACTGCTGCACCATCATTTTTTTTTCGTTGACCACTTTGGATGCATTTTTGTCCAAATACTTCAATAGGATTGCCTTTGAATTTGACTAAGAGGAGATATCTTGGATTGACCTTTAGGCAAAGCCTTAGGTGATAAATCTAAATTCACCTTGATCTTTTGACATATAAGAGGTCACTGTACTATAAAACATCCTGTAAGTTTCCGAACTCAAAACTTTCTCGTTAGTCTAAAAGCAGCTTATATTGAAGCCAATCTGCCAAAACGACAGGTTGTGGGATGTTGCACTTTATGACGTAATAGTGTGGCTAAACCCCGCCTCCGGAGAAGTAGATCAACGCCTGCTCCTACATCACTGCCTGTTTAGCCCCGCCCACTGATTCACGCATGTAGTGTAAATAACAAGAGGCAAACGCAGGTCTATGCAGAAACCAAACGATAAAGATGCTCCGAAGACAACAAGACACTGTGCAGAGCCAAGTTGTGGAAAAACATAGTCTTTGCATTGCCTTCCTTCTGTTTTTATTATGTGGTCACTATTGCTTTGTCTGTTATTACAGATCGTTTGATACGTGCTGAGTATTTATGCGTTTTTAACCTAAATCACAGCAGCGGCCATCTGTGAAGGATGTAGGCTGTCAAACACACAGCTGTTAGCCAATCATAGCAGTGGGCGTTTACTTCCGAGCTGACAATCCACCACGACTATTCAAACAGAGCGTTCGGATGAAGGGGTCAAAACAGGAAAATAGCCTATTACTGCTAAAATGTTATGTTTTTTGATGTAAAGATCTTGACAACATTATAAGTGGACCTCAGAGAACAGTACAAAATGATGAAAAAAGGCAGTTCATGACCCCTTTAAAATACTCCAAACATAGGCATCTCAAGGTTTTGGAACAGAGACTTTGTTGGCATTATTAGTGAATGACCATTCTGGTTTAAATAAAGCTGCTATTTATGAGGGAGATTTTTATGTGTGTCTCTCACCTTCTTGAAAACCCTTAGACTCGGTTTGCTTGATCGTCTGTGGAAATGAATTACTATGTTAGGTCAAACAACCACTCAATGATAGTATCAGTAATATCCAACATTATGATCCGATGCTTGTAATCGTCACTTACCCACGGCCTTCCTCCCGGTAGTTGTCCAGGCCTTCATCGTATGATTTTGAGCGCTCCGTTTTGGTTCCCAATTCCAGAATGGCATTTCTGAGAGACTCTGCATGCATGTAGACAAAAATACAACATCTGCAACAAGCTCAACAAAATGCTCACTGATCCATTCACATGGTGCTCTCAGATGGCAATAATTGCTCAAAAAAATCTGAAATCTGTACAGACATGCTTACCTTGGTCATGAGACAGTTGCCGGCGCATGAGGGGGCTGGGGGTGGTAGGGCTAGGGCTGTCAGAGATTACAGCCTGAGCTCCAGAGATCACAGCCGATGCAGGAATATGGCTGCCATCATGGTCTACACTAGGGCTGGCTGGCTCATCTGTAAACATATGAACAGAGCAGTAAATGTGAATAACGCAATTCTCTTTGGCATGTGTGCTCACACATGCTGCTACTACAAAGTAATGAAAAATTAAAGATAAATCTTTCATCTATGCAGTACATAGTCATGTTCCCATCGTATATGCCTTGCTATTAGGGCTGGGACTCTACGCTTATCTCCTGAATTGATACTAGGGCTGCACGATAAATCGCATGCGATATTTAACGCGCATCTTGTCAGAAAGCCGGTTCTGTAATCAGCGGTAAATCTCAATCACCTGCGGGCTTTCACATTGAGCAGCATTAACTACACAGAGCCGTTGTTCACTGACGAGCTGCGCAAAAAATTGCGCGAATATGGACGTGGTTTTGCGCAACTCGTCAATGAACAACGGCTCTGTGTAGTTAATGCTGCTCAATGTGAAAGCCCGCAGGTGATGGAGATTTACCGCTGATTACAGAACCGGCTTTACTGATAAGATGCACGTTAAATATCGCATGCGATTTATCGTGCAGCCCTAATTGATACTAACTTGATATATGGTATACATACAAATATTTGGTCACAATGTTTTAACACAGAGTTTTATTTCAGGAGCATCATACAGTATTGTACTACAAAAAAATAATTTCAAAACCCAGGGCTTTGCTGATAGACTGAATAAAAAAAGCACTTCGAAATAAAGTGCTAGATTAAGCTCTTGCTGTTCATCAAGAAACAGAAAATAAAGTTAATTTAATAATTAATTAATAAATCAACACTTAAATAAATATTAAACATGCATAAACATTTACACTGCGCTTGAGGCAGTTTCTATACAAACTTTAATAATACAAATTTTTATTTCTCTTCAATTTGTTGTTGAAATATAAACATTTCAACAGTGGCTGTAATAAATCATGACAGATTTACTGAAACATACATTAAATAATAAAGACATAAGTAAAAACAATTATATGTAATACAGTACAGTGCAAATATTAATCAACATGCTCCTCCCTAAAGTTCTTAATTTAACTGACTAACGAGTTTACGGAGGCTGAATGACTTTCCTGTGGTAGATGTAATGTTACGTGACAATGCTTACAAGCTGTTTTATTGATGTCTTTCCATGGTTGAAACACTGACTGAGTGATTACATGAGATGTGATACCTTTCAGTAAGTTGTACTGTTTCTGTCAGTATTCCTTCTGATGTTCATTCATGTTTATTTCATAGTAAAGAGGAAGAGATGAATGGTTCTGATTCATCTTGTTTGTATTTTTCCTAAATTAAAATAAATAAATGTCTTCTGTGTTTTCCTAAAGGTTATTCATCTGTTGTTATATCCCTTTAACAAAAGTCAGTTCCTTCAAATAATTTTTCAAAAAAATGTTTGTCAATTTTGTATTATAATATAAACATTCCAAAAGACTGTTAAAAATACTCTCAATATATCACTGAGCAATAGGGCTGTCAAAAAAAATGCGAATTTCGAATATTCGTTGAATTTAAAATAAAAATCGTTTTGTTGCAGTGGCGCACGAGATGCGATGACGGTGTAAGTGTCGTTGCATTATAATGTTTTTGCGGCGCTGCTGCATTGTTCATTAAAAATATTGCAGAAAAAGAGAACATCAATGCGGAGAAGACCTTGTTTACATCAAAACTGAAACCAAGCCGTTCACACAGAACACATATTTCGCGCATTTTCTAGAGGGACATCTATTACCGTTGCACTCACATCTCACACAAAGGAGCCGCATGTTTAGAAAGCCATGTAAAATTAATGCAAGTTTAACTTTGAAAAAACATATATCGAGACTTTATGGCGGGGGTTTTTCCCCATCTCACTGCATCTCATTTTTTTAAATGAAAAATGTACTCTGTGTGATTGGCTTTCGGCCCTTTGTATTAAACTACGCATACATACATGATGCTGTTTTGTTTATAGTTGTTTAAGCAACTTAATTA